TAAATTTTGTGAAACATTTCTTTAAAAATCCACGCCTTATAGATCCATAAATTTTCTGAAACATTTCTTTAAAAATCCACGCTTTATAGATCCATAAATGTTCTGAAACATTTCTTTAAAAATCCACGCCTTATAGGTCCATAAATTTTTCTTAAATCTTTCTTAAAAAATCCACGCCTTTTAGGTCCGTAAATTTTTCTGAAACATTTCTTTGCTGAAACACGCCTTTAGGTCCATAGTTTTTTTTTTTTTTTTTGAAACATTTCTTTAAAAATCCACCCTTATAGGTTCATAATTTTTCTGAAATATTGGGAGAGAGATGAACTATTAAAAGAAATACCGTATTGAAATGAACGATGAAACTAGAAAACAAAATTAGTTCACTCATAAGAGCTGAACTAAAAGGAACTATCAGCTAACTGAACTGGGTGTGAACTGTTAATGCAAGACTGTCATGTCATACTGTCAGATGGAGCCGTAGCTCGTTGGACCCAGGTTAGCTCATTGGATCCAGCGCAATTTGTATATTGCTCAAAAAAGGCTCACGTCGATTAGTTCAACGAAATTTTAGAAAAAAATATGATCGTCCGAAAAAAACAGTCACTTCGATCCAATTTCAACGAAAATATTTCGTGGAAGGAGCACTTCCAATAAACTGGCGCCAGTTACGCTAGGATGTTAATTAAAAGTGATACACCGCATCTTATTGCTACGAAGTAATTCGAAAAACGAACAAGAGAAGTGAATTATTAAGGACCAATAAGAATGCAACCTCATTCACATCGATTCAAACTGACGTCTTTTTGAGCGGGCAAAAGGTGGATTGATGGGTAATCCGCCATACAGCCTTGGCCCACGAAGATTCTTTTTTATTCACGGATATCAGGAAACAATGAGTGGCCAACAATTTTTGTCGGCAGAACATGCTGCTGAAGCGTTCGCGCTCTCTCATTCTCTCTTTGTTATTTGTTTTATGAATTACGTTCATAAAAAGCATAAATCCGAACATTGACAACAATTTCTGAACCCTATGCATATACTGCAGAATGCTAGGCCATTCTTCCAGTACATTTAATGGATTATGATTTTATGTTAGAGATTGTTATGAACTCAGCATGTTCTTTGTTTTATGAATTGCGTTCATAAAATGCAAAAATCCGTACATATGCAACAATATCTGAACTTTATTCATATACTAAAAATCATATGAATATTTTTTTTTCTGTGTATATCAGTTTCATTGGTACAGGTTATTCTTTCAGTAGACTTAATGGATTATGATTTTATGTTAGAGATTGTTATAACCTCAACATGTCCGTAAAAGAATTCGGATTGCATTGCCATTAACACATAATATGACTAGGAACGTTATTGGTTTATAGATGCTATAACAAAACAATGTGTAGGTAGACAAAGTCATTCGTAATCATTTTTAATGTGCAATATATCCTTTATAATTAACTAAAATTTTATCCCAAATACATTACAACATATGTGTGTTTGGCCGAAGGATTTGCTACAATTTTACACTAGAATGAATGGATGAAACCACATATAAACCAGATTTGCAAGTGACATTGTTTCCTGTGCACACTCACTCACATACCTAATAATATTCAATGGCCCATCACTATAAAAATTTGTTGAGTATGCTTCGAAATTAGTCTGTTGTTCCATGATATGGAAATAAAACCTTACCTAGCCTTTTTCGTTTTTATAGGATAAAAAAGGTGTTTTAATTTAACTATTTAAACAATTCTAGAACAACCGTGTGGTCATCTTCAAACCCCTTCGAAATAAATTATATTTTCCAAAAATTTAACACACAATGTTCAGAGAAAGCTACGCCTTATCACATTTCGTAAAACAATAGACTATTATTTTGCTGAGGGCAAATTACTTAAAGACCCCAAAAAAAAAGAAACCAGCAACTGTCCAGTTGAAGATATATTACATTGTTGATCTAAGGCTCTCGGCACTCTAGAGGACATCTAAAATACAATAATGTCTTCTTCGCTTTCTTTTTTTGTTTTTCAGTTTTTATTATGGCCTTAAATTTCACTTAGCTAGTTGGGTAATTAACTTTCTTTGTAACGATGTTTTTACCAGTCGTCCTAATGGAGGCCATTAACAATGTGGTTGTATGGCAAATGGCAAAACTAGGAAATACATTATGATTACAGTTGGATATAATTAAATAGCACATTACCAAATCGTGGTGAATTGGATGATGAATGATTTGTCGACTAATAAAATGAACTTGTAGAGGTATTTTATAACTTATAGAAGACTTCAGTAAGTATTTTATACAAAGAATACCTCTAAAAGGTTTTCTATATAAATAAATGTTCTCGAGAAAGTATTCTAGACAAGGAAGGACTCCAGAAAATCGAATGTACATACGAGCCTCTAGAAGACGAAAGCTGAAATATGAATCGAGCAGTAAATAATCTCATAATTGCTACAGTCAATTTAAAATGGAATATATTTCCGAAACAATTGTCGAATCACTATTTCCACTCCGTTTAGGACACCTTAAAACTTCTGGCGAAAAAATATTGACTACGAATTGCTCTCTTCATGTGTAGGAATAAAAACATACGTCATGGCTGTACGACCCATTAAATCCTCAGTTTCTTCCTCTCTTGTTCGTTTTTCAATTTTTCCGAAGAATTCCAGCAAGCAAATTATTGTGTAGCACACAGAATTGTCCTCCTGTGTTGCTCCACCGCAATATTCACCAAGTTTTGCAGATGAAACAGGCAGCCACGTATTGTTGGTTTCGGCTCGTCTTCCAAAGTGAACACGATCGATTGCTGCTTTGTTTCGGGTTCATGCAGTAAAGTAAATCATAGAAGAAGTACGGAAGAAAAAGGAAAGGAAGGAAAAAAATCTATTTTATATGAGTAGTGTTCAGAAAGGGTTGTCAACTTTTCGATTTCTACATTTTATGAACGCAATTCATATAACTGGTTTTCTGACAGAGAGAGTGTGTGAGAGAGAGCGAAAGAAATAACCAAACGATATATGAAAAACAAATTATCGATGACAGTTTGTTTTTGTCAACACGGCCTGAAATGTATAACAGTCATCGTACAGAGAAAAACTTCTGGAGGGCCTTCAATGAGTTGAAAAACTTCTTTTTGCATAAACAGAAAAAATAACTCATATATTATCCTTTGCATTTTATGAGCGAAATTCGTAAAATTGATTTCCTGTCAGAGAGAGAGAAAGAGAGAGAGAGCGGATGAAAGAATCAAATAACCAATCATCAATTGAAGGAGAAATAGATCACTAGCATACCAAACAATATGTGACAAATTATCGATGACATAGCAGTCATCATACGGAGGAAACCTCTAGAAGGCCTTTAATTAGTAGAAAAACTTCTTGTGTGAATAATTTTCAGAAAAAAGTAATTTTTCCAATATCTGCATTTTATGCACGGAATTCATAAAACTGGTTTCCTGCCAGAGAGAGAGAGAGCGAAAGAAATAGACCACCACCAAATGAGAGAAGAGACGTTGATCGTTAGCATGACAAACAGTGATAGCTGGTGGTTGCAAGAGAGCGATAAATGATTGCAAGGTACAAAATAGGAAATAAGTTTTAAAATTTATGAAATTTCCACAAAGATAGTGTTTTGCCAATGATTATATGAATTTGTGCCTATATTTTAATGTAAAAAATAAACAATTCATAGAATGATGAAAAAAACAAATAATTTTTATTCTGTTTTTCATTTATAAGAGATAGCAATCAATAGAATATTTCCTATGAAAATTTGACTTTTATATAAATAGGACTACTATTTTATGTTACTGCAACTATTTTATATTGTAGTAAGTATAGGACATATAGCACGTTGAACAAAATACCAGTAGCATTGTTGTTAATGGCAATGTGTGTGTTGTTGTGCTTGTATGTGTGTGTGTCTGTGATGTTTCATTACCAGCTAAATCATCTTAACCACTACTAAGGCATAAGAACATCTAAGGCTTATGCGAACCATAATACACTTCGTATAATATCCATGTTACAATTCTAAGGCGAACTCTATCAGTATTCTCACAGTCAATGCCAAAGACAAGTAGTTTTAAGTAGCAGAAAAATAAGAAGATATAGAAATATTCTCTGCAATGGAGTTAGTGAAATGTGGACTGCAAACCAAAACCAAATATGCTTAGCTTCTTTCGTTTTAATTATTGTTTAATATGCAAGAGGATTGTTTGTTACTGGAATTTCTGGAAGCAATGATAACTACATAATTTTGTTTTTTGTTCAAAAGTGTCGTCTTCCGTATTCAAAGCATTTTAGATTGTGACATAAAGTATTTTTTTCATTAAAAATATTTTTAAAATGCTCTAGGGATTTTTGTAATATAAATATAATTAGTTTTTGCATTGTTTTGGTAAATGCCAAATATTTACATTTTATTTTTAAAATAAAATATTGTTGACAATTTGACTACTTATTAAAAATTGCATATTAAAAATTGCCATTAATTAAAATTTGGTCGTTAAATATTGTAAATTAAATTTTGGTTTTGTAACACAAACAACGTGATATATTTGTTTTTTTTTACAGCGCCTAAATATATGCACCACACATTGGAAAATAAGGCCTATTAATAAGGTCATTCAGGGTTCTCAAGTTTGCTGTCAAAATACATTATTGTGAATTGACTTTTCGCTTTGTCGATGACCTTATTAATAGACCTGATTACAAACAATGCAACAATTTTCGAATTAAAAATCGTTAATAAAGAAACACATCGTAAAATATTAAAAAAGAAAAAATATATATATATTTCTCTACTCCCCCACCAAACAGCAGCAACATAAGCAAATGAAATTTTCATAATTATTTTAAGTAGATTCTTATGTTTCTTCTTCACAATTTAAACTTTTAATGATATACTGCTCAACTTTTTTATCAATTCAATATATTTAACAATTGTAACGTTCTTTCTGTTCCCCCCTCTGGTACATATCGTTCAGGTCAATAATGCAACAGCTCGAGTTCAAACTAAAAAAGTTACCACAGTCCCTAACGGTAAGTACCAACAACAACAATCGGAAAATGAATAAAAACAATATTTTCTTTCGACTCGAAAGTTTTGTTTTCTGTTCGCCTAAAAGTATGCAACGAACAAACCCTTCTTAAGAAAGAAAACAAAAAAATCAATATTATTTGTAAGAACTAAAACAAGCCAAAAAGGAAAAAAGTCTCAAAGTTGATTAAAACTAGTTTTTTGTGAAATTGTGAAAAACATGGAATGTTTTTCTCTCTTGAAAGGAAGTCCAATATATTTTCTTATTAGAATCAATAAGAAAATATTACTTTTTACTGCAAGAAGTTTGTCGCAAACGAAGAAAAAGTTCTTTATAAATTACGAAGAAATAAAATATTGATACTTTATGTAAAAAAAGATACTCGTTATCAATGACAGAGTTTGAATTTTGTCAGTAATTTTTACACTCGGATTTTGTGGAGAGCGAGCATATATTAAAGTTGTCTTTCGAAAATATTCCCTGGAAATTTCATAAAATAATACGAGGTCTGATCAAAAAAGAGCCTTCAAGTAATGATCAAAAGGAAATAAGCCGAATATATATGAATGTATATATATATATATATATATATAAGCCAACCATGTCCCACTTGACATTCCAAATGCCCTGCAACAGTTTATTTCATTTTTTACACAAAACCTAATACAGTTTCTTTGATAAATGTTTTTGAATATATAAAATCCGACAAACGCAACTCAAGAAATTTGAAAATAACGTTTATTGATCAGACCTCGTAAGTACGTAAGTACTCTTATATCAAAGCATTTTTTTCTGTATTTTTTGTGCATCGATCTGTCTGTATGTTGAAATCGAGACAGAGCTCGAAATTTCTAAGAGATAGATTTAATTTAATTCTACATCTGTACTCTTTATTCAATAATAGTAATTTTTTATCAGTCCTTGTAAATTCTCGTATAGAACTATCGTTGAAAAGAGAGCTCAAAATGTCTGAGCGATAGCTTTACATTTTTATACGCAACACAACTATGTAGTCAGGGTATTATCGATTTGTGCAGCCCCAAGAAATATTGGCCCTAGACCCACCTTTAAGTATACCGATCGTCATATCTCGGCTAGTTGAGTCGATCTAGACATGTGTGGAGTCTGTCCGTCTTTCCGTCTGTTCATTATAATTTGTATGCACTATACAGGCCACAGTTATGGGCCAATCGTCATGAAATTTTGCATGTCGGACGGGTTCTGGCTTATGAAGACCCCTATTTATTTTGGTAAAGAAATGGACCAAAAACTTTATTTTTGTCTGTTTTGTTTCTGGTCTCTAGAAGCCACTAGTATGACCCTACTAAATTTTACAACCGAAAGTGAATTTGGTTAGAGAATAAGCATGACTATTTTCATGAAGATCGGTCAAAATTTAGCGGGCCAAATGGACCCAGACTTTTGTGTGAAAAATCGGAAAATTTGTAATCTGGAGCGTATATATTTACTCCTGAAGGACATAGACCCGAGAAGTGGATAGCACATCCAAGAAGAGTGGCTGGCCTATAATTGTCGGTGATGTTGAGAAGATATTTAGGGGGTGCAATAAACCGAAATTTTTATTTTTTATCAAATTTTCTAGTCCCTCTAGATGCCATTATTATATGCAGAACATCACATATTTTCACGGTGAAGGGGGATCTGACCAAATACTTAGAACGGCTGTTTAGTTGATGATTGGTTAATATTCCGAGGGTCAAATCAACCAAAACCTTAAATGACCACATTTTTATTTTATGGCGAAAATATTCACCTCGGAAAAAAACATTTGGAAAATATGCCAGAGTTTGAAAAAAGGGTGTCCAAATATCGAGGATTATTGCCCATGCTCAGAATATAGAACCACAGAAATTTAGACTTCAGTGGTAGTTGCGAAGGGATCGGCCCCATCCGACTGCACCATTTTAGGAATTTGAAGTTTATAGCCATATTTTTCCAACAGTAGTGACTGTAGTTTGGCATTTCCGTTTTGTGATGACTAAAAAATATATTCCAAAATATTTTGCTATATATGTCCTTTTTTGGAACCGCTTCCGCTTCTTTCTAACAGACGCATTTTAAGGGTCCTTCAGACATTTTCTTAACAGAATGGATGATTTTGTGTTCTTGGTCGGTAAAAATCGTTTTTAATTTTTGACCCACCCTATTTTAGATATTTTGATGGTCTTAGACGCATTTTCTACTCGAAGTGGGTGTAATTCGGAATTATCGGATTCTTAAGAACAACAATATGATAATATACCACAGAAGAACCCTTGGTTTACTCAGAGTCATAGAATCCGGCTCAGAATCCCCAACTTTTGTCCATAATACAACCTTACCATACAACCTTACCATAACATCCATTTTCATTATATCAAAGTATGCATATTCTTCATCAGAATAAAATGACATATTCGTGTTAAATTTAAAAAAAATCAAACATCCATTGCTATTAGTCCTAAGATATTTGGTATTAAAAAGGCTATGTTTTTTATAGCTCTAAATTTTATTGTAAATGTATCCGATCAATTGGCTTTAATTAGGTATTTTGCATTCTCATTGGGTAGCAAATCCTCAAAAATATGAAACTTGGATCATTTTTTGAGAAGCTCGGTTATCGGTGTAGGCTCCATATACCGGCATCCTCTATAATCCGGTATTTTAAACACAAATTTCAACCGAATTGCTTTTAATTTTTTATTTCCGGTTCTCATTATTAATATTGACTTGATTTTCGGCGTAGATCCTCCATAAATCCTCTATAATTCGTTTTTTTTTTTTTTTTTTTTTTTTTTGGGATTTTGTGTACTGGTTTCAATTGAATTGACTGTTATTTTGGTATAAATTAAGGTTCTCATTGGGTACCAAATTTTCGCACCGATATTTATCAATATTGGTCCACTTTTTAGATTTTGTAGAGTTTCCTCCCTGTGTAATTTAATATTTTAGATTGTCATTGGATATAAAAACTCCCCTCCAAACAAAAACAAAAACTATCAATATTGAGTCCAGCTACGATGCAAGTTCCATATAATTCTGTATTTTTGGGAATTTTAGGCACGTTTTTTCAACCGAATTGGATATTGTTTGATATTTTAGAGTAGCATACTAAAAATCCAATTTGATCGATTTTTGATATTTTTTAAATGCCCAACTCAGTGTCCTGGAGGTTTTTTTACTTGTTTTTTTTTTGCCGTCTCAGAATTCGACTCCCGAAAATTTTGCCTACTTCCACTCCTAGATTCTGAAGCAAACACGGCTGTATTTTTGAGCTATGAACGAATCCTGCAACAATTACATTTTTAAATGTAAATGTAGAAATATGGACTCAAAACATATGATCATGAAAAAAGATCATATTGGGAAATTCGAAATATCGAAATAATATGCAGACATCACGAAATTTTATTAATCAGCCATCGTACGAATAATAGTTTTTTATTCATTTTTTTTTTTTTTTTTTAATTTTTTGTATTAAATTTTTATAAAATTTTTTATTACATTTTATATATCAATCACATAAGCTTTTTTATGCAAAATGCAACATGATTGGACATGAATAAAATAAAAATACAACCATCATCATATGTGGGATAATTTTGCCTGGATTATTTTGATATTTTATGTTTTTGTAATTTATGTTTTTGTAATTTCCTATACATGCTAAAACCATTGTTAAGCATTTAAATTTTGGTTTCAAAAATTATTATTATTTATATTATTTATTGTTGTGTTTAATGACAGCTGTAATAATCGATATAGTATGGTTTGTTAATTTTTATTGGAAAGTTTAATTGCAATAAGTGGTTTATACATTCTTGTTTTGTATTAAACTTTTTTATTTTTCTTTTTTAATAATTTTATTTTTATTTGTCTATTTGTCTGAGACACTTGGTAATAATGTTGTTTGCAGTTTATACTTATATATATCATCTTTATTTTTGTTTTCTTTTTATATCCTTCTCCTATTCTTCGAACAACAAAAAACCACAACAACAACCACAAAATTCCTAAAATAATGTATGAAAACCAATTACAATAGTTGTGCTGACAAAAGATGGTGCCATACCGGCTCCAGCTCTAGGTGAGCAAAAATTAAAAATATCCTTTCAAACTTAAAGTCAAAATTATCTATTTTTTATTTTTGTTATATATTATGCTGTTCTCGTATGTGAATACTCTATGCCTGTGTGTTTGTTGCATTATTTCTGTTTTGTTTTCAATTGTAAATGCAAATGGTATTGATTGCTGCAAATGAACATGAATGCCAATTAAGAAATGTTTGACTATACCTAAAGGCGATTTTTGTAGTTATTGTTATATTGTAAAAGCTCTACCATGTGCTGCCTCCTGCCATGCTCTGACTTCCTTTGCCTTTTTAACGTCCCTTTTTTTTTCAAAGCTGTATATCCCTTTGTTACATTTCTCAATATACATATTTTACAAATTCTGCATTTTATTGATTGCATGCATTTCCTTGCAAAATTGGGGAAAAAATAATTCAATTTGTTCATGTTACTTTCTAACAATAAAATCAATATATATATATATATATATGTGCACCATTTACCTCGAAACTAATCTGCTCCAACCGAAGAAATTTGTGATAGTCGAAATCAAATAAAGGGCAGAACTTATTTTAGATATTTCGGATACCGTCTTTATAAGCGATATGTTGTTAAAACCTTTTGAATAAATCACAAATTTTTATGCTTTTTTTAATGACATACCAGTTGGAAATTTTTCCAAATATACAATTTTTTTAATTTTGAATGTGATAAAAATCATTAAAATAATTCAAACATAAAAAAAATATATATTTTTTTCATTTTTAAAAATTAGGTTTTACTATTTTTGAAGAGAAAAATTATTTTCTAAATAAAAAAAAATTAAAAAAAATATACTTTACCGTTATAAGCAATTTCCACGATTTTCGGAAGATTTTTTAAACACAATACACCTAAGTCTGTTTTTACACGGTAGATTGGTTCCAGAAGAAGCCGTGTAAAAAAAACCGTGGAAAAAAGGGAATTCCCCTAAATTAGTGCTATTCACATTTGATTTGACCAGTAAAAATTGTTTGTACGCGCTAAAGGGGAATTCACATAAATATTTAAGCTAGTGTTCGCAAACTATCGATGGTTTCAGACTTTTTTCTTTCATAAATACTTTTTTGTGATATGAAGTTACATCGCAAAAATTAAATTTGACAAAAAAAAAATTTAAGTACATAAAATTTCAAATCGTGCTAAATGGAATAAAATCGTGTAAAAAAAATTAAAAATATGTACTCAATTTTTAAAAAAAAAACTTTCAATTTTCAAACCGTGTTATATCAAAACCGTGTACAAAAAGACCGTGTAAAAACAGACTTAGGTGTATTATGATTTGTCTTTATTTTAACTTTTTTTAAATTATGAAAATATTTTTTATACATTGTTTTAAGCTCTACAAATTGCATTTTTAAAATCGTATAATTTAACAAACGTTTTGAATACCATATAGTTTTCAAAAATATATTTTATTTAAAGAATTCTGATTTTTTTTATAGGCTAACAATTTTAAAAATTACTTGGTATCAAATATTTTTATATTAATATTAAAAAATGGAATACCATATACTTTCCAAAAATATTTTTTTAAGAATTCAGATTTTTTTATATACTCAAACAATTTTAAAAATTACTTTATGTCAAATATATTTTTAATTTCTATTTTTTTCTGAAGTTTTAAAACATATCTGAGTGACAAAAATGTATTAGTGATTTTTGCTTTCCTATGGAGCTGAAATTATATATCATTATATATATATATATATATATAATTATTAAATTTTTGTAATTCCTTTATCGCCATTCACTCCCACCCTTCTTCTACAAATACTCAAAAATGCTCTTAGGTTTTTAAATGAATTGACATGACAATTTCCAATTTCATTGGCAAGCTTAATAGATATGTTCAAATAAATAAATATACGTATTGTGTAATCCTTGCCATAAACAGATATGGATATGCATATTTGTGTGTGCGTGTGTGTTGCCCAATTCTGAAATGCTGCTACAAGGCATATCCGTTTATATCTGTTAAATAATTATTAAGACAATACCTGCCAATAAATGTATTTATTTATGGCCAATGACAAAATCCTTTTTTAAATATTTGTTAATGACTTTACAATTAAAATTAAATTAGTTATTATAACATTATAAGGTTGAGAGAAACGATTTAATTAAGGAAATATTATTATTGCACAGATAAACTGAACAATTTGTTATCAAAATATGTAATTTTTAGGAATGAAAATTAAATATTATAAGTAATTGATATATAAATCCAATGTTATCTTCCATTCGACATTTGTTTTGGGAATAAAGTTTTTTAGCTTTTAAATCTGAAAATCCGGTTAACAAAGTTAGCTATCCGCACCTGCCTCTCGCAAATAAATTTTATTAGCATAAGGTTCTCCAAGCAAGGATCGGATAAAAGTAAAAAAAGGTATAGAAAACATACGAAAATCGATTTATTGTATTTGAGAACCCTGGCTGAAATGCTGATTTTTGTACCGAAAAGGAATACATTAGAACTAAAAAGACAATATGATAGGTTTAGACAATCTACACCTTTTTAAGATGTTATTTAAAACATTTTTTTTTTTGCTCACATAGTTCTGTGTTGATTTGTTGATTGTCGGCAAACTGGGCCTAGTTCCTAACGTTCCTTTATGAGAATAGTTCCAATGAACTAGTTCGTTCCGGAACTACTACGGATCATCTTTTACCTATCCCATATCTGGTTATAAAAAACAAACACATAAAGGATGTATATAAATGTGATTGTATATGTCGAAAATAATTAAGTTCTATTGTATGAAAAACAACATATCTTACATGATTAAAATAAAAAAATTCAAATTTTATTTTTAAATCCAAAGTTATAGGAATATTCTTGAAATAATATTTTTGCATCTGTGTATTTTTATATAATTGTATTGGCATGACATGTGTATTTTTATATAATGTTTGCAATTTTGAATTTCTAACTGTATATACAAGAAGATATATTTGAGAAAAATAAAATTAAAAAAAAAACTATTGATGTTATCACTCTTCCAAGCCCCAACGCATGATGCCTAAACTCGCATGATTGTGTTTGCATATGAAAAATAACAATAATTGCCATGTAAAAAAAACATCATATTTTATTCATACAAAAATAAATACATATTTAGAACAATTAACTAAAATAGTTTCGTTTTCTTTTTCTCTCTTCTTTTACGAATCTCTTTTTTTTTTGTCAATTCCATATCAAAATGTTTTATTGTTGATGACGATGATATTGTTAAACGCTTTTTGACGCCTGCTGTGTGCCTGTAATGCCAATCACAAACATATATTCCACCAAACAATAAAAAAACAATAAAATTTCAAAAAAACAAAATCGTTCGGCTATGGTCTGATGTTGGCTTTGACAAATGATATGAACAAAAAATATCTATATCACAAAACTTACAACCAATCTGGATTTACATACATATTTTTGCGAACGATCACCATCAATGTCATTTTATTTCCTACCACCACATATCAACCACCAACGACCACCACCACCACTACCAACCAACCATCACTGGTATTACCTGCGAATTGAACGAAATTCCATTGATTGACAACGAACAAAATTCCTGACACCAACAAAAACAAAAAACCCAACAGTTTGTGTCCAATGGCCCGAAGGTAAGTTTAGAGTTTAGCTACATTGTATTTTTTCTTCTTCTTCTTTTTCAATATTTTGTTGGAATTCGTTTTTATATGGCTTTCTCTTTTGTGAACTTTATTGGTTTGTGTATGTTGAATATTCAATTACAATTATCTATACATATTTTATTTTGAATCCTTTGAAAGTTTGAAACAAAATGAAAACAAAGTTTTAAATATTAAAAAACAACTCTAAATCCTATTATTTAAATATATACATGTATTAGAAATATAATAAAATATTACATTTTGTTTATGAAATATTTACGCTGAATAATTTCATATATTACAAAAACACAAATGCAACAACAATTAGTTTAAGTTATATATATACATACAAAGCAGTATCTACAACTAGAATAAATATTTTATATTTTATTTTATATTTTTAAATAAAATATAACGTATGTTATATTATAATTTCATATTATATATTTTTATTTGTTTAGGTGAAAGTATTTTTGTATAAAAAACTAAATTATATTATTTACAATTTAATATATATTTATTTAGCTATACAAACATATACATAACTATACTATATGTGAATACTGGTGATACGCCGAGTACATAAAAAACGAATAAATAAAATCGGCATTCGCTTCGACTGAGCCCAACTTCGACATAAAAAATACTGTGAGGCAAAATCGAGGTCATATCGGATACGAATTAATTTCTAAAAACATGTTTTTCAAAATATATGAAATGTAATTCGAGAGCATATAATTTGCAATTCGATCATTTAATTTACAATTCATAACATATCTGTTGTAATTCGAATTTTTTAATTTGTAATTCATAGAATATCTTACGAGATTCATAGAACTCCATTTGAAATTCAAATTCTTTCATTTGAAATTCAAAGGGTTGCATTTGAAATTCAAACAATTCCATTTGGGAAGAATAAAATTCCATTTGAAATTCAAATAAATACATTTGAAATTTTTAACATTTCAAATTCGAAACATATTTTTGGTAACCCACAAAGAATATGTATGATTTTGAAATGCATATTTACGAAATACAAATGAACTTTTATGAATTACAAGTGAAATTTTATGAATTTATTTAAATTTCAAATGGATTTCTTTGAATTACAAACGAAAATCTACGGATTTCAAATGGAAAAATACGAATCATAAATGAAATTCTATAAATTTCAAATGGATTTTTTTTTTAATTTCATATGAATATTTTAAAATTACAAATGAAATGTTGTAAATTACAAATTACATTCTCGAATTACAAATGAAATGTTATGAATTGCAAATTAAGTTTTTGAATTACAAAAGAATTTTTCGAATTGCAATTGAAATTTTTTGAATAACATCTCAAAAGAATAAATTTTCGATGAAAAAAATACTCAAAAAAATTTCGAAACCCGGTCCTTTTTTCCAAACTTTTTCACATGTTATTCAAAATATATCAAATGTAATTCGAGAATTCCATAATCACCAAATCTATATTACAATCCAGAAAATGGCGTCTTTTGGGACAATTTCTCCTAGTACCACTCCACAGAGTGTTCACTCTTAAAAAAGAGTAGCCTAAAGATGACAGACCTTAATATTTCTTTTGTTTTTTTGAAAGTATTTCGCAACATGAAAATACACGGTTTTCCATGCGTCCGAACCAATTTTCGAAGCAATTTTTTCACTCCGATTTAGACACTTCCAAATGAAACAACAAAATTCGGATATATACCATTCAAAAATTTTTTACCGCTTCTACAGCATCTTCTGGCGACGGAAATTGCTGACCACATGCATTTTTTTCTTAAACCGCGAGATTAAAACGAAATCGTTGCGGACAAATTGTGGCCAGAATGGATTGCCTAACGTTACTCCAATGGAAGAGTCGTCTCATGACCTGTTTTGAATAACTTCTGCTGGTTTCAGCATGTCCTCAAAAAATCGATGTACCTCTCGGCACGAGCTTTTTTAGAACAATTGCCAAACAACATTTTTACGATCATATGTTTAAGCAACATCGAATTTCTATGCTGGATTCCTCTCTGTCACAATATGTCACATGACATGATGTTGTATTATCAGTGAATTCTTTAAACCTGTTTATGACATTTCTATAATATTCAATAATTAATACAATAATTTCAATTCATCGATGCCCTCTTTTCGAGATAATTCTCGTCGGGTTTATTACTTTTTTTGACAAATTGATTTCTCTTCAAGTCACTATAAAAACACAACACATGACAGTACGCCAAATCACACTGTGCAGGGTTATGCTACAAATATGACATTCGTTCAAACGGAAATACCTGACGAGACCAGGCAATACTTAGAGTTGACTAAGCCAGAAAATTAGTAGCCTTTTGTAGATGTTCAACAAATAACTTAGTGAAATTTGATCACCCTGTAAACTGCTCCTTTTGGTCGATTATTATTTTTTGGTCCTTTTTTTAGTTTAATGAAATGTTTTGAGAAAAATTATTTAAAAAACGTTTACATTACAATGTAGTTTTATTTCAAAGAATGAGTGAATATGAAATATAGATTCGAGTATTTTTTACTGTAAACTAAAATATGTATTTTATAGCATACATTTAGGAGTATTTAAATTTTTTATTTTGCATATGCTACATATACGATAATATACTTAATTTTTCTATAACTACACAATCGTAAACATACACATAAAGGTTATCGATTGCCTGTGGCTACGTGGCCATTTATTGGTGGCCCTGTGGCGGTGGGGGCGGCGCCATTAACACCTGTGCCAACGGGAGCGGCACCAGCAACAGCCACTGCATTAGCAGCACCAGCACCACCTCCTACGCCCATTGTATTAGCACGGCCGTCAACACAGCGACGAAGGTATTTTTTTGTTTTTGTTTGTAACAAACGAATGCTAAAAATTCATAAGACATTTTTTTTTTGAGGCTTAAAAGCACAATTCATCCCAAAACAAAAAAAAAAAAAGAAACTGATGGATATGAACAGGAAAAAATGAACACTACCACCATAAAATGATCCCAGTCCAAAAGAAAATTAAAAACTATAAATTTAGAATGTTAATAATTATGTATGGATTGCTAATTACTTTGAAGCCCGTCAGCTCGTCCCCAATATTGTTAATACTAATATATATTTTTAGAACTACAAAAAAAAATTGAAAATCATTGAATTTTATACTTGTAAGAAAATTTAGATTGACACAGAAATATATTTCTATAATTAGTTATAATGTTATTTATATTTTATTTCTTGGATTGGATTTGGATTTCTTTGTAAAGCATTTATTATGCAAACTCTTAGAAGGTATTTTAAGTAATGTTATACATTTTTATAATATATATTTACCATGCTATGCTATGATTATACGTATATACATATAACTAGCAAAGTACCCGCTACTTCGTATGCGGAAAGGGAATAAAAAAATATTTCATATGGAAATGGTGAATACCGTATAATTAGTTGTACTATAGTTCTGAATTCCACCTCTCTTCCTACATTTAATATCAAGTTTATTACCATTAATTACTCTTCATACACATAAGCACTATTTTCCGAAATCCACACATTAGCAAAAACGTACAGGTTCCACATGTAATTCCATTTAGAACTTTTCGAACACCGTCACCTCCACTAAATTTGGTACCAAAAACCCTTTGGTCCTTCTTTCTAACTCTCTGTCAATGACCAACATTCTAAATTTTAGGTTTCCAGTTCTCTCCGTTATCCAAGTTTAGTGAATTTTCTATTCTATACTATTGGTGCACATAAATTCGAGTTTCCAAAGTTGTCTCCATAGCTCAATACTACACTTCAACAGTAATCTAAGTTCCAAATCTCAAGATTCAACCAAATCCAAATTGTTTCAAATTTAGTACCATTTACTCATACTCATAGGTAAGAATTTCTAAAACTACATCAATCCATATATCCTAATCTTACTTCCACCAAAGTCCAAATTGTTCCAAATTATTTTTAAGTCCAAATATTAGGATTCCCGCTCACACAAAACGAATTGTACCATATTTAGTACCAATTAGGTCTTCTCGTATCCATAAGTACGAAATTCCAATACTTCCTTTATCTTGCAATTTTAATTACAAATTTACGTTTACTATCTCTATCCGTTAACTCGAATCAAAATTGTACCATTTTTTTACCATTTAGTACACATAATGACGAATTTTAAAAAATTACCGACATATCTCAATTCTGCACTCAAACTGTAATATTAATTCAAAATTTTAGAATACAGCCCTATCCGTTCACACATTTGTTAGATTTCCGGACCCATTTAGTACTTTTTGTTTCTATAATTAACAATTTCCTAAACTATGTCAATCTTACACTCCAACAGTAATTTTAATTAAAAAATTCGGAAGTCCAGCTCTATCCGTTCACACATAATCAAGTTGTACGAAATATAGTACTATTTAGTACATATCTAATTCTATATTCAAACATCAACCATTAGTCCAAATTATGGGTTTCCAGCTCTCTCCGTTCACCCAAATCCACCTAGTGCCGTTTATTACTTTTCGTACACATAAATACGAGTTTCCAAAGATGTCTCTATAGCTCAATCTTCAACAGAAATCTTAATTCCAAATTTCAGGTTTTCAGTTCTATCCTTTCAAGCAAAATCCAAATTGTACTAAATTTAGTACCATATAGTACCTTTCGTACCAATAAGTACGAATTTCATAATCTACCTCAGTCCTACATTCCAACAGTCATTTTAATTCCCAATTTGAAGACTTCAGCTCTGTCTGTTCACCTAAATCCAACTTCCACCAAATTTAGTACCATTTAGTACTTTTCGTACAAATAAGTACGATTTTTTAAAGCTAATTCCGATTATCAAGATTCCATCTCTACACACTCAACTGAATGTAAATAGTACGAAATTTAGTACCATTTTACACTTTTATACACATAAGTACGAATGTACTTATTTCCGTACATCAACACTACTTCCCAACCAGTATTCCATTTCATATGTCAAGATTCATGCTATATATGTTCAATATATATACAACAGGAAGTAAATTCAGTAAAGTTTAATACCTTTAGTACACTTATAGGTCGAATTTCCAAAAACCCTTTGCACATCATTCTAACTTTCAATCAGTGACCAACATTCCAAATTTCAGAATTCTAGCTCTTCCCGTTCGCTAATAAAAAGGGTACCATATTTGGTACATTTTAGTACTTTTCGTACCCTTCTACTTCCAACAAAACTTCCTGCATACCCCGATCCTACACCCCCATAATGACTGTACACTGTAGTATGAATTGCCAAAACTTCCTACTTAACCCAAACCTACACTTCACAGAGATCCTAATTCCAAGTTTCAGAATTCCAACGCTATCGGTTCACTCACAATCCAAATTGTACCAAATTTAGCACACAGTAGTATGAATTTCCAAAACCTCCAACCTACAACCCCACAGTGACCCTAAATCCAAGTTTCAGGATTACAACTCTATCGGTTCACTCACAATTCAAATTGTACCAAATTTAGTACACAGTAGTACGAATTTGCAAAACCTCCTACTTACCCCAATCTTACACCACCACAGTGATCCTAACACCAAGTTTCAGGATTCCAACTCTATCTGTTCGCCCACAATTAAAATTGTACCACATTTAGTACACAGTAGTACCAATTTCCAAAACATCCTACATACCCCAATCCTACACCCCCACAATGATCCTAAATCCAAGTTTTAGGATTCCAACTCTATCGGTTCACCCTCAATTCAAATTGTACCAAATTAAGTACATAGTAGTACCAATTTCCAAAACTTCCTACATACCCCATTCCTACACCCTCACAGAGATCCTAAATCCAAGTTTCAGGATTCCAACTCCATCGGTTTATCCCCAATTCAATTTGTACCAAATTTAGTACACTGTAGTACGAATTTCCAAAACTTCCTACAGACCCCAATCCTACACCCTCACAGTGATCCTAAATCCAAGTTTCAGGATTCCAACTCTATCGGTTCACCCCCAATTCTAATTGTACCAAATT